AACTTTTAAACCCTGCGGTTTCGTTATACAGTGTGAGCTGCAGCTACGTGTAATGATTGAAAAATGTTGCTCGGTGTTTGCCTGCTTTATAAGGTGAAGAGGTCAGCAGGTTTGGCTGAGGAGGTCAGTGAAGCTCTCAGCTGGGTTATGTAGGGCATAAAGTGAAGTAAATGGATGAGCTCTGAGTCACGTATGATAAGGTTGGCGTTGATTTTTATCTGAGGAACAGGATAAACTGGGAGGCTGGGATGAAGATTAATCCGAGGCAGAGATGAACTAATGCCTGGTTATTCACTATGGGCTGAACGGAGAGAGGGTCCGCCTACAACCTGTCCTCTTCTAGTTTGACTGACATCGATAAACCCTCAGTTTTTTCAGAACCACATTAAAACCATTAAAACTTCCGCGGCGTGCAGGTGGCGCAGTGGTTAACGCAAACACAACCCATGTACGGAGGTCTTAGTCCTCGACGCGGCTGACCTAGGTTCGAATCCGACCTGTGCTCCTTTGCCACATGTCCCTCCCCCTCTCTTATACACACCCTTTCCTGTCAGCCTGCTGTCAAAAAAGAGCCACTAGTGCCGCAAAAACTCAACAAAAAAAGGAAATTCTTGTGCTCCAACTTCTCCTATTGGAAGACGATATCAGGTCTAGACTTTTGGAACAAATGTCTGGAGAAATGAGAGCTGAATGGAGGCATTTCAGTCCAATGTTTGGAGAAAACCAAGCAGGAATCGGGATCTTCAGGTGCCTGAGTGGACCGTGAACGAGTCTCTTTACCTGACCCAAACACAGATAAAAAACAATCACTGAACCAAAGAGCCGAGTCAGAAACGTTAGACAACCTTAGCTGAGACTTTTCCATCCTTTAGATTAGATCAATCCTGAACAATAGGGCAGGAGGACATGAAGACTTTAAGCCGAGGTCAGATGACATACGGTTAACGTACGTATAACATACGGTTCCAACATTAAAGCAGGTCAGAAAATCTTACTGGGTTCTGCAGCTGGAAGATCTTGGTCCACTTCAGTCTCAGTTCTTCTTGATCCGGCTCCCTGGACCTGAATCATTAAGTAAAAAAGACTCAGTTTCAGCTCATAACATGGAAACCATCAGCTGAGTGCTTATAAAGATGGGCCATGTTGTGTGTCTCAGAACTCACTCTAAAGGTGACGGGTCGACTTGCATCGGTTCCTCTGCAACACCAGAATGTGGTTCCATGATATGAAGTGCAGAAGGAGGAGGAGCCTCAAACATTCGACTTTCCATTCTGCGTCTAATGGCAAGAGGAGCACCTAACATTGGCCTCCTCCTTCCGTGTTTAAGGGGAAGAGAAGCTTCTGACATTCGATCTGTCTCTAAGGGTCTAATAGAAGCAGGAGTAGTTCCTAACATTGGATCTCTCTCTTGATCTCGATCTCTCTCTCCGTGTCTAAAAGAAGCAGGAGGAGGAGGAGCAGCTGCAGACATTCCAGCTTGGATTTGGAGCTTTTCATAGATAGCTGTCGCTCTATTTTGACTGGCAGAAAGAAAAGGTGAAGCAGTTCCACTCAGACCAAAACTGCTTTGGAACCCGGCAGATTGATCTATTAGACCCATATGTTTTCGGACTGTGATAGAGCAAGGAGGAGGAGGAGGAGCTCCGAATGTTTCAGCTCTGCTTTGGAAACTGGCAGGAGGAGGAGGAGGAGGAAGAGCTCCGAATATTACAGCTCTACCTTGGATACTGGC